CTCTCTCTCTCTCTCTCTCTCTCTCTCTCTCTCTCTCTCTCTCTCTCGACCATCAGCGGATTAATCTGACACTTCGATTCCCCCAGAGGGATGAACGCAAACAGGAGGAGAGGCCCGTAGAGACAATCCCAGCGAGAATTCGCCACGATTCGTATTATCAACAAGCCGCTCCTCGAGTTACCAAGCTCGAAGAGCCGATCGGTATCCGATCTCTGATGAGAGCGGAGGCGAGGCGGTGGAGAGATTTCTTCAATTTCACGGGTCTGTTCGCCCCCCTTCAATTACCGGCACTTAACCAGCAATAATTAGACGTTCCAGGATTGGGTATCACGGCTGGCGCGGACCTTTAAAGCGAATAAAGTCGAGACGGGGATAAAGGAGAGAACGCCCTTCCGAGAGCTTGTTCATATTTTTCTCCTTGTTCCCATCAGCTCCCGGTTGCTCTCTCTCTCTCTCGCGCCGTTCTCACCCCGCCCCCGCTGGTTCGGCTTCTTTCTTTCAATCGGCCGCGGCAAATCACGGGGAATCTCGTAAAACCGTGAAAGGACTCCGCTTTTGTCGTCGACGAGCGCTGAAAAGAACGACCGACCCGTAATAATCGTCCTAGGGAGAAACTATCGTTCGCTTCCAACGACGATCCCCGCTGGTAAGTGATTGCGTCGGGGATTAGTTCTGTTTTTATACCGGTTAACTGACCATTACGTCCGCGGCGGATATCGACGCTCGATCGTTGTTCCCGCGATCGACGGAATTAGCGCCCTTGTTCCAACGACCGTCGCGACGTATTTGCCGTAAATCGACGAGGAAATCTTAGTAAATCGCGTACCTCTCTCGAGATACTTCGAGATCAATTTTCTCGAGAACAAAGCAATCTGCAGAAAAACTTCCTGTATACTTTCGACCAACTCTTTAAAGCACGATCATATACAGGCGGGCGTCGACTTTCGCACATTTTTAAACATTCGACTTTTTAAGCCAAAAGAAAATACCAAATTACATCGCTCTATTTTCGAACATTCAACATTCGCACGTACTTTCAGGAACCAATTGTGTGCGAAAATCGAGGGCCCGCTGTGATACATAACAAATAATCCTTCTTTTCCTGGCTGGACCAAAAAAGGCCACGTCGAGCGTTCCTCCGTCGTTACGCCGCTATAAAGTTCGATAAGTGCATTATCGCTCGAGCATTTCCAAGTCAATTTCAGAAAATCTATCTCACGGAGTCCCTCGTTCCCCTCGGTTGCGATGTCGACGATTTAATGGTTCCACGAATGATTCAGTATCTCTCATTTCGCCGCGGTGTTTCGGGTCACGTTATTCCGGGAAGAAAGAGAGAAATTGACGGCTGAGAGCGGGTCAGCCGGGGCCATAAACGCGAATTTAGTTATATCGGTGGCACCGTCCGATGTCCCACGAGCGCAATAAATATCTGCCCGCCACCGTTAAGACGTCTAGTATTGCTCCCAGCGTGTACGACCCAGCGCATTGCAGCCACTTCATCACGGTTTCTCCGGTTGGCCTCCAGGATACACCGATCGCTCGATCAAATATGTATCGACCAGCAAAACGCAACGGCTTCACTGATTTTACGACCCGTGTTTTTCGTTGTTTGTCCACGGAAAATCCGCGGCGACGGGAAGAATGTAGAGAACTGGAGGAACGCTCGGCTACCTTAGCTAGTCAGGTTCTCGGCTGTTACGAAATTGGCTGAATCTAATTTTTGTCTACACTTGCTAATGCTTCGAGATGAACTGAACCAAAAAAGACACCGGTGCTTTTAAAGTCTAGATAAATGTTGGTACGTATGTTGGCCCAAGTGTTGCTTCGTCTCAAGAGTGTTCCAAAAATAGCGAGTTTTCTATGAGATCTACGAGATTCTATGAAGCTCTTGATCTTCAGAAAAAATTATTTACCAAAATTCTAGCACGCAGTGCACACAAATAACAGCATTTCTATCCCCGAAACTTTATGACCGCGAAAAGCGCGCGTCGATATAAAACAAGACGTTCCAGGTGCGTCGGTGTAAAATTAATTTAGAAATTAAAGGCGTAAAAGTGGCAAGAGCGCCGCTTTACAGAGCCCCTGGTCCCCGACATCTGCGTATTTCGGAGGGTTTTATAACGGCCACGGTGCAAGGGTGGCTTTACGACGAATAAAAGGCATCGACGGGGGTGGCAGAATTGTGACAGGCGGCGTGAAGTTTACGCAACGCAATTATTTTTATGCCGCGTGCCTTACACCTGTACTCTTCTCGTCGTAAACACTCCTCGCTCAACGAAATAACGATGAGCCCCGTCCTCGACTATGGAAGCTTCGAAACAAAGCATCCGACGGAAAGAAAAGGGAAAATGAAATTATCGCTGGGGGTGTCAAATTTTTCTTGCTTCGAAGCTTGGAAAATTCTAGGGGGACTTTCACCGAATTTTTTCTGGCCTTTAAACATTTACAATGCTCGGTTTAGTTTAGTGGAACGGAGGACACAGATGTGTTGATTCTTCGCACGAAAGTTTTGTGGGTAAATCGACCAACAATAATATTCGTTTAAGTTTAATTTCTTTGGAACTCGAAGTGTCGATAAGATGAGACTAAGAAAGCAAAGGGTTAAAAGACAAGCATATATCCAAATTCACATTGCCTTCTAATTGATTCTAATAAATCGTCTTCATCTATTGAAGCATCGCTTATTAAAGCATTCAGTAATGAAAATCTCATGAGAAGTCTTCGTAAACCTAACGTTGAATCGTGGAAATAAAGCGTATCTGTAAGCGCATCGACACTGACCTTGGTCTTGGACGCATGAAAGTCGTCGGCGATGGTCCTCAGGTTGGCTCCGACGTTCACCCACTGGTTCTCGAAGTGGGCGCAACAGCTGTTGCAAATCTCCGCGGCGGGTGCCTTCTTCATGGCCGCGGCGCCGCCGCTCTCTGACGCGATTCTGCGTCTTCGCGGCCTTGGTCTCGGGCTCGGAACCGGTGCATCGTCGGTGTTGCATTCCGGAAATTGAAATGCGGCATCTCTGGTCGGGCTGCTCGGCGCCGACACGGTCACTTGGGGAGCCGTGGCCGGAAGTTGTTCGACGGCGGACAGTACGAGATCTGGGAGCGTGAGTCTCGACAGATCGGAGTCTACCAAGACCACAGGATGATCCCGAGATCCGAAATTGTCCCCAGCTCTCCGTGGCAGTCGATCTGAAAAGCAGAGTGAACCGTTCATGAAACATCCGCTCCGTACAAGAGGGAACGACAGGTTTACAATCGAAAGAGTTATGATTTCATGAAATTATATCTATCAAGTATTGGGTGCATGATAAATTTCTTAAATTTTGAGACCTTGATTTGATGCTGAAGTGTGCTAAGACACTACATATAAAAAGGGACTGCTAAAATCAGAGTATTGTGCCCTTTGGTAATTGAAATAAGTTCTGATCCTTTATTTCGACGTTCAAGTATCATCGTATAAGCTGTATATGCTCTGACGAGTACGTTAAATGCGTTGGCCAAAGTAAACAGGACACAGATACGCAACGAACACGAATCGAAGCACATTGCAAGCTTTACAATAAATAACCTAAAGCGCTTCGATATTAACTCTAAGGAGTTAATCCACTTCATTCCACGTAAAATATTCCACAATAATTTCCATCACGCATTTTATGAAATCCTCGCGCGTCTCTGGCGAAATCTTGACTCGAACCTGCTCGCGACATACGATACCGTGGGCACAGCGACGCAAAAGGTTCCCTCGATCATCTCAGAGAGCGATCTAAGCGCGATTCATCACCGTTTTCAGTCGCTCGGAGCGATCACCCTAACTTCTTCCCGTCTAAAAACATATGGACGCGAGATAGACCCCGGATCGACGAAATACGTATTCGAGCGATTCGCATTGAGCGTATCTGTATTTGCCATCGATAATTAATCGCCGTGCAGAACCAGCGTTGCGTCACAACAATGGAAATGCTACGATCTACGCACACCGTCGCGAGCCTGACTCGCGTATAAGGTTTAATGCCACTGGGCAGACAACGGCGAGGCAACGAGTGCCCTGTAATGGCAGCGAGCGACATTGTTGGCTAATGATTGTCTGGAAAATTTACAACGGTCCATTCGACAGCCTTCGTTCCGCGATTTCGACACACAGGGGTAAAGATACCGAGAGATCGTGTACCAGCTGTTGACACTACACGAAGAAAATCTGATGGAGACCTAACGCTAGTATTGGCGAAACAAAAAAAATTCTTAACGGTAAGAGACTTCAAAGTTAAATTTTTTTTGTAGGAATATGTTTCTTGAATATACTTCATTGTACCTATTTAATTTAATTTAATTTGTTCATTACTTGTTCAGTTCGTTCAGTGTTTCTTCAATTTACCATTGTACCTTTGTGCTTTCTAATATACAAGTCTTCACAAATATTCCAGTATTTTCAGTTTTCCACCTGAGTCGTCATCCTGAAAGGGAGCTGTGCTGCTAGATCAAATCTTTCTATATAAAAAATTAAATGTAATATTAAACTACTTTATTCAAATATGTTCCATCTCGTATTCCGAATGGAAAATAATACATTTTGAAATGCAATTTGGAATTAAAATATGATTCCCCTGCATTGTTCGTAGATCAACAAAGAGTTTAATTATTATTCTGTTCTCCTAAATGGTCAACCACTGGTACACTTACCTCATCGAGCGCGGCCGCGGTGCACGCAAATGTTCGTACGCACGCGGCGTCGCGCGTTCTCCGTTCGCCCAATCAAAACCGATTAAAGAGAGTCATACCGACTGCGTTCCATCGAGAAGAAAAGAAACCTGAACGAACTATTCGAAGCTTGTTCGGTATCTGGTAGCTGGGAAACGCGTGATATCAGCCAGCCATAACGGACTGCATTCGTCTCGGTGCATAATCGCGAACGCAGTTTTATCATCCACGATAAAGAAGCGTTTTTCGGTTGATGAGTTCTATGAAGATAGAGTTTTAAAATATCGACACATTCACGCGTGAGTCAAAAATGTCTGATGACTAAAGCATTGATAGAGGAAGTATTCCTACGCTCGCGATTCGTTTACTTGTCTATTATTCTAGATAAAATTAAAAGTGAAACGTAAATAGAAATTATGTCCCTTCACTTTGATAGTACGCGTATATCGCAAAAGTTGCTGGCTACCCAATTACACAATTCTTTCCTTATCGAAAATTTCTACTACAGAGGCGGACTCGGTATTAATTGATCATAATAATCCAGTGTGAAACGCAGCTCACGCGTTCGCACGTAATAATAACGCCAAAGCGGAAACGCGTAGCGTTAACTATAGAAATAAAACACGAGATCATTCGAAAGTTGGAAAGTAGCGAGAGTGCTGTAAAATGATCAAGAACACGCGGTATCGAAGAGTCGTGATTACTGGCATTAAAACTGTGTATATTAAAGATCGTCGCATTTACGGCGATGGAAAAAGGGTCTAGAAGTATACGCAGCCCCGTGCATTCGTTTATAAAATGCAACCTGTATAATTCTTAACGAGAAACGTTGCTTCTTGTTTTTCTTGCTACCGTTATCGATTGGTATTGTTGCGGTTTTATCTGATACACCGAGTGGTCGACGTCAGAAAAGTGAGTGAAAGTACGCAGACTGAAACATTACTTATCGCGCGAATTATTTTAGCAAAGTTCTCGATGTGTACCTAATCATTGGAATTGAAACATTAAGAAAAGTCTAACAAGGCTGCTTCCGAATGCTTCCCAAGTTCCAAACCGTGAGTCGAGAGTCCATTACGTTGAATTGATAATGAAACGCATCTCGGTGGAATTGGACGTGGTACGTGGGCTCGCGGGAACATTTAAGCGCCGCTTTTTACTCGGAGCATGCGAATCTCAGCCGACGCGTGACAAAATAACAATTCCTCCGCGCCTGGGGCCGCCATTGTCTCGTTGGCGCGAGCGAGTGCACGCGGTTGCATCCTTGACATTTCGAGTAAACGTCCGCGGAGGCACACAGGCCACTCGAGGCTCTTTCACTTGTGCAACTCGAGCGCGTGCGCATCGGGACACACATCGTCGCCTACTCGTTCGATTAGCCGTGCATGCGATCGCGAAATCTCGCTGCGACGTAAAAGCGAATCCGAGAGACCCGATGCACTCTCGTGGGTAGCGATGGGACCAATCCAATGACACACTCGTTAACCCTTTCTATCAAGATCGTTTCATAATGGCTAGCTTCGAGCCTGGCAATTTCACGTACAAACATACCCGTGATTCCATTTAACATCGTTAGCGGTATCATAAGCGGTGACATCGGCCAAATTGGGCTGCGAATTGGAGCTGTTACTACTATAGAAATGTGCAGTGTATTTTGCTTTAATGTCGGTTTGATGTTAGGAAGGCGTAGACGGTAGGCATTCTTATGTCACGTCATCCGGAGATGGACACTTTTCTTTTTTTTTTTTAAATATGGCAGACATCACTTTTGTTGGTTTTTGGAGCAGTTTATCCGGCTGCTTCGAAAATGATAAAAATGTTGTCTACTACATTATACGAGATCGATGATAATTTGAATTTTTCATTCTACTAATATAATATTGCTTCACATGTACAGAGTGTTAACGAAACTTTCGAATCAATGCTTCGTGTGAAAAACATCTGTCGCGTTATCTTTGACGTTTTGCAATCTAAAGCATTATCATCGAGATATATACAGTTATAGTCTATTGATGTGACTCCGAGTACTCGCTATTTATATCATAGCTGATCGTTCGACGTGCACGCGAGCACGTACTTCCGACGTGTAAATAGCATACTTTATCAAATTATAGACTTTTTCTAAAAAACTACTAGCTACTAATTTAAATATAAATCACCAAAAGTAACACTATATAAATTGGATATTGGAAAACGTTCCGAATGAAAATTCTACTATCTCTGAAAGCCTCTAAATTAAATAGACAAGGATCAAAAAATTGTGGTTCGAATACGAGGGATGCTTTTTCCCTAACACTTGAAAGTAACAGTAACGAAATGTGCCATAACTCTTAGCTCGAACCAAATTGCCAAGAAACGAGCATTTATACAAATTCATGTTGGCAGCGTTCCCTTGTCAGTCCCATCGCTACTCGTAGGTCGCGGTTGCCGCTTTTCACCGCTTGCAAAACAGCCTTTAGCTTATCCGAAGACATCGACAGACGCCCCGTGTTGCTCGTTCGCGCTTTCTACCGCGATTTTCCTCTCGCCAAATGTCACTACGCCTCGAGAGAGCCGCGTGAGAACGAACCTTTCCCGAAAGCGATTTATATAATAATCGGCCACGGCTAATTATTATCCCTCTAGCGCGCTGATAAAACCGTTCCGCGGATTCCGTCCCGGTTAGGTCGTAATTTACGACCCCGTTAAGCGTGATAAACGGCGAACCTAATTCTGATTTATGCAGGGATTCAATTCGTTTCAATTTCAATCCGGTATCCGCTAGCAATTTCTCGACTTCGCAGCCTTCGAGGCATTCATCGACTTCTCAACGACTTTCCGCCTGATTTCCGGAAATAGTGATAATTCAGAAACTCCCCCTTTCTCTATACTTTCCACTCCAAAAGTATTCTACTCGTCGTTTCACCGCGTTCCCCAATGTCTACATTACATTAAACAATTCTGAAATACTGAAAAGTGCCATAAATATCAACGATCTAAACGTCTCTTCGATAAGAAGGTCAGAAATGCATTTTCCCCGCCGGTCCGCAATGCTTTCAGGGTTACAATTAGAATTCGTCGCCGGGTTTCGATCGTTTCATTCGATACGCGGGATTCTTCTCGAACCACGATCGAAAAGGGAATAAAGCCCGCGCAACGGCGCGCGCGTCCCATAAAAGCCGCGGTTCCCGAGCAAAAAGTGCAGCGCGCACGTGGCCAACACCCGCGCGCGCTCCTCGCGGTCTCGTGTGTGCACTTTCGTCCATCCGAGCGGAGTTATGCTCCAAAGACGCTCGAGCGGGTGGCGTAGGAGGCGAAAAGACCGCGACGGAGAACGGCGACGAACAAGTGTACGAGCAGGGAGGAAACGGGTACACAAAGAACGAGAACTCCGACGGGAGCGAGGGAGAAACGCCAAAAGGGGGGAAAAAAAACTCGCTGGAAAAAAACGAGGGATATACGATAAAGAAAGGAATCCACGCGGACGAGAGGGAAAAAAAAAAACAGAGTTCCACGGA